CATCTCCCACCAGGCCTTCTCCGTTTGTGGACAGCAGGTCAAGCGAGTGATCACTGATGAATAGCAAGCGTGTAAAACTGAGCTTTAAGCTACAAGCATGTAGTTAAACATTAATACCAAAGGATCCAAACTGCATGCCACCGTGTGTGTTTATATCCAGGCTATGCCACCCAGACCTATCTCTTAAATAGGAAATTATTTCCAAAGATGAAAGTGTTGGCCTGAGACTAAGAAGGCAAGGTTTGATTTCCAGCTCTACTGCTGGCACATGGCTTGGCCTCAGGTAAGACAGCATGCACCTCCATGTGCCTTCTTTAGCTGCCAGGAGAATGGAAAGGTGAACTTACTTCCCACGGCACAGCAGCTTCAGGGCTAGAGTTGGAAAGCTAAGTAGTTTGTTGAGCTCAGAGTGTAAGACTGTTTTGTTTAAAGAAATTTCAAAGAAGCTGCCTCATCTTGACCTGAAGTTTTCACTCAGATTCCATCTTTACTAAATATTAGAAAGATTGCCTGGGATTAATCAGCAGGTCAATAGTAAATTAGAGAGCTATTTTTTAGACAAATATGAATGCATGAAAATAATCTATATTTTAAGACTGGATATCTTTTTTAAAGCCAATGCTGTATTTTTTTTTTCCGCTTGTATTACAAACTGTATTTAGTACTTGCAAAATTTGTTTGACATTTTCACCATTGCTTTCCATACAGTTCTGCTGATTGAAGGTATCAGGCTGCTAAAAAAGGAATCCTAAAATCAACAGCCTTTGCACTAACTTGTTTTTTTCTGTCGTTCAAGTCTGCAAGTGAAAGAGTGACGTATGCTTCGTATTTTGTTCTCTTAGCATTAGCACAGTAGCCCAGAGTCTTTCTGCAGCTGCAGTCATACAGAAAGTGTTGCAGAGGTATAATGGGGAGTTGAACTTGGCCTGCACTATGCATTTATTCTTTCCTCTCAAGAAATTATTAGCATTGTGGTGAAACATTCGTCTTCCTTTTCCAAATACCCCCTTGAAATCCTTGAAATATTAACATTTTTCCTCTTAAGAGATGTAGTTTGTATTAGACTTTTGTTTGTATCTCCAGCTTTTGCACATCCATGACTCATCCTGGCTTTGAATGAATTCAGAGTCACAGTAGACTTTGGAAGGAATGTTGAAGGCAGTATTTTCTTTCTCTACTTAAGAAGAACTGAAGAAAGCTCTCATGCCAGAGCTTTCACTGCTCAGAAACAGTCCCAAAAAAATGTTCCCTCCTTGCCTTCCCAAGGGTTCTGATGCACTAAACCTCTGCAATAGCTGTGCTGTCTGGAAACAAATCCAGACTTTTTCCTTCTCAGGCGTTATGGGGACAGGTGTTGAACTTTGGAAGGATAAAACAGTCAATGTCCACAGAGATGGGAGGAAACAGAGAATAGGTGTTGGTAATCTGCATTAAATGGTATTAAAATTATTCCTGGGAGATTGGAAGGGGATATTAATGGAACATGTTTTTTTATTGTACTCTGGTTCTCACTTAATATGCATAAAACTTTATCCCACAGCTTATACATCCATACACATGGGAAACATATAGGAAATGTCACTTGTGAAATGTGATTGATGCTTGTTCTGCATACACAAATGAGGAATATCCATTATATATGTCTCATACGTGTTAGTAAAGTTTTATTGTTAAATGCCAAAAAAAGTAATAATTACTCACTGGTAGAACATATCTAGGGAATAGCATTTGGGGTTTCCCCCCATTTTATTGGTTACTGGCTGTTCCTTTAGCTAATATTTCATATGTACATTTTGGAAGAAGAAATAATATATAAGGTAAGTAAAACAGCCTATTTTACTTACTAGGAAGACTACATTGTTTTGCCTGACAATAAAATTTTTAAAGAAAAACAGAAATAGGACCATTTGCACACTGAAGTCAGTTTCAGTTCCTCTGTATTTAACATCAAACTGACACTTCTGCTTTCTTCATTTATCCTGTGCAGACTTTTTGCATTTGCAAACAGTAAAACTGAGCTCACGGCATGTCTTTTTCAGTTGTCGTGGCTATATGCTGATCTGCAATTATCTCAAAAGAAAAGCAAACTATAAAAAATTAGAATACTGTAGGTAAAAGTCATACAACCACTTACTGTTAAGTTTGTCCATTTCCAATATATTCCTTTGCTTTCCATTGGTTTTAACTTAGGCAGCCTTAAACCTGTGAGCTGAAATCTTTCACATCACTCATTTACTTGAGAATCAGTATCTTGGAAATTGGATGAGCTGTTTTTCAGCACAAGAGTAGGAAAAAGCATGTCAGTACTCAGGACAAAAGGAATAACGTAAAATGAAGCATAGCAGGAATAAATGGAGAGCTTACAGAAATAGGAAAAAGGACTGACCATCAAAGAAGGCTGTGTCTTTGTGGTCAGGAAGTGAGCGTTGCGGAGAGAACTGCCAAGGGTAAAACTGCATTAGACCTTGCCAAAGAAATTACAACAAATAGCAAAGACTCTTTACCCTCATAAATAAAAGTGGAAAAAGGGAAGAGGGGAGACCAGTGTGAGCAGTGTGCACTCTCTCATTCCATCTTTTTCTTCCCTTTTTTCCTTCTTTTTTAATATTTAGCTGCATTATCTAGTTCTTTGCCAGCGAAACATTGTCATTGCAACTCCAGAGCCTATGTGTGTGTCCCTCGCCTTCTGGTGGGGAGCCCTTGCTCTCTGTAATACCTATTTCACACAGAGTGAACCAGCCCCAAAGGGCGGCTTTATCCAGCCCACACCCTTCCCCACTCTGGCAGGGGGCTTGGCTTGCCAGCAACAGCAAAGACCCCCGTAGCCACTGCACCAGTGGGAGGCCCACTATTTATCCTCCCGAGCGGCAGATGGGGTCTTCCCAGTGCCTGGATTTGCCTCTCAGCATGAAAATGGCTGGGACGTGCCACAGGTCACCACTGGCTTTTTCCATCTTGTATGAGTTCTTCTGCTTTGTATGAGCAAGAAAGCTTAAATTCTTGTGGGCAAGGCAGCATCTTCTGCCATAGGAATAATGTAATAGTAATGATTAGTGGCAAAAGGCAGACAAGTAAAGACTACAGTAGCCAGTCCCTAGTATTAGTTTAGGGGTACGACCAAAGTGAAAAGAAGGTTCAGCAAGGTTCCTAAACAAACTAATGTGCTCCTCAAGTCTCAAAGATTTGATCTTGACAATGGTTGGAAGTCAAACTGTTCAGCCTTCCTGGGTAGATTAATGAAAATTGTGGTTTTATTCTTGCAGTGATAGGCACCTCAGTCAGGTATAGATAAATTCTGGTTTTTAGGTTGTGCTGTGGATGGTCATCCAACCCCGAACATCACCTGGCTTTACTCTGGCAAGCCTCTCAGTCTGCGGCATCGCCTCCTGGCAGTGGACCGGATTCTTCAGATACTCAACGTCAGTGATGCTCCTGATGGTGAATTCAGCTGCCTTGCTCAGAATGAGGCTGGCTCGCTCACGCAAAAAACGTCCCTGGCTGTACAAGGTAACTTTCCAGTTTCAGTCCTGCTGCCCTGTGAAGCTCTTGCCATGGACTTCCCTGCACCGACTTTCTCATCCTGGAATTTCTCCTCTATGAAGCCAGGACTGTCATGCACAGCAGGAAATAGATGTTTTGATGTTTTACTGCCATGGATATAGATTTGCAAGTCTACCAGGTACCTTGCAGCATCTTAGGTTTTACTTCACCAAGTAAATTTTCTGGCCTGCTGAGCATAAAACATGCCTTACTGATTCAAGCTATACTTATGTTTGTTGAGTCTGGACAGTTTTCTTGTCCAGAAATTCAAGACAGAGGTATCACAGTTTGAATCCCTAAAATTAGAAGCCCCTCTGCTAATCTGCTAAAGTCAGTGTTTCACAGTCTCTTCTTGCTTGAAATAAAAACCCTAGAAATAAGCAGAAGGTGATAAAGCCACAGAACAGAGCAGTGCGGATGGATTGAAACAGAATATGCAGCTTTCATTGCTCCAATCGTCAGGGATGGAGTGGAGAAAAATTTAACTTTTCCTTAAATACTGTCATAAAATTTTAAGTGTGTTGCAACTCCTCCATTCATCTGCAGGATGGATGATGTGTATGATCGACCTGGTGAGAAGCACACTGTTGTAAGGTCATAGAATCATAGATACTGCTGGTAACTGCAGTTAACCACATCTTCACTAAATCACACCCCTTTAAAAATATAGATGCAATGTCCTGTATCACTGGCATCTGGCTTCACTTAACTGCTCTGCCATGTCATTTGCTTTCCGTGCCTGATGCTTCTAAGCACCAAAAAATCGGGTTTGTTACACCAAGGACAGTCAGTCGCTTACATCAGCTGGAATCCTGTTCCTTCTTTGTTCATTGCCCGGTGCCTTGTGGGCATAGGTAGTTCCCCTTCACATGAGACACTGAGTCCAAATATTTAATCCTGGAGAACATCTCTGACTCTTTCTTTTCTAAGGGTCTCGTGCTGGCAGTTTTTGAGTGTTAACATGTCTCTTCCACACTTTTTGGCAGAATACCGATGGTCAGTGGACAAGCTGATGGCTTGTTCGGCTTCTTGTGGCCACAAAGGGGTGCAGCTGCCCCAGCTGAGGTGCTTACTGGATGGGGCTGAAGTCAACGTATCCCACTGCAAAGAGAAGCCCAAGCCAGCCCTGCAGCCCATCACATGCAACAGGAGAGACTGCCCTTCACGGTTCGTCTGTTTCATGTTAAAATGTCATACATGATTTTAAGATGTGCTTGAAGAGTTCTTTGCACTGACATCATGCCATTGCAGCCTCTGTGGTGCCTGTCTGGAGAAAAGTCATGGCTGAAAGGGAATTTATGAGTGCTTAACCTAGACAGTTGGGAATTTGTAGCAGGATTTGTGGAAAACATTGACCATACATGGTAGAAAGAGAGTTCACTCCTTCAGTAATTAGGTTAGAAAATAAAAGAGAGGCTATTGACTACTCTTTATTAGCAAAGTTCACACTTCAGTTGTCTTGGGTGATTCCAGCCTCACCCTGTGTTGGATGTAAATATCATACCTGTTCTGAGCTCTGTACATACGGAAATTTTGTCACACAAGAACTGTAGGGTCATACCTTTTTTGTGTTCCACATGGCTTCATACCAATTAACCCCAACAATATAACGGACAAGAAGTGAGGTTTAGCAGTTGTTTAGGGGTTTTATTTCAGTGTTGCCTGAACATCAATACGGGCAGGACTGTAGCTGCAGCTGCAGAAAATTCTCTTAGCAGAGTAGAAATGTCTTTTGTAAAATGGGCACATCCCATCAGATCTAGTGGGCACGAAGCGGGGTCAGACTGAGTTCTGCCTCCTTTTGGAGATTGCCCGCTTGTGGTTTCCTTGGGATGGTAACTCTCTGCCCCTGTAATCCCCTGTTTTTCAGTTACTGTTAAACACAATGGAGCCAGGGTAGCTTGAAAGACTTCTAACTACACTTAGGTCTTCCTCTGCTGCTTCCTCCCCACACAAAGCACTTTCCTTCTTTGACACGCTTTGGTGCAAAGAGGAATACGTCCTGAGTGCCTACCCAGAGAGTCAGTGTGGTGTTATAGTCCCTCTATGTTAAAAATGTTCTACTTCTGCAATTCAGTGGCTCCTTAGCTGAGATGTATAAACCTGCTTTTCCATATTTTTCTGGGTTTTTACTCCCCCTCGCCCTTATTTCCACAGTGGACACGGTGTGTTTCCGTATACAAGCACTTAAAAGTAGTCAGGATCTCAAGAGAAATTTAGTACAACTTCTCTCATTCAACAGTGATTTGGGACTTGTATTAAAAAAGAGAGTCTAAGCTGAGGCAAGGAGAGGTGCTAAGCAACCTGATGAGAAACAAGCGGCCAGATTTACCACTCTTGCTGTATCTTGGGTATATGGCAAGGTTCTCTTTAATTACCTTTTAAAATATATACCTACCCCTCTTTGCAGGCAAATGTTTTCTGAATTGCCAGCTGAGTCATAAGAATGAAACCAAAAGAGATTTGGTGAAATATGAAACACGCTCATTAGCAGCAGTTTTCCTTGGTGATGGCAGTAAATTCCGTGGGAAAGGTTTATGTCTTTTTATACCTTCCCTGAATTGTAACGCAGCCCACAATCCTCCCTCAGCTCCTGAGAAACTGCTGAGATGTAAGCTTGGAAATAAAAGTTGATTGAAATGCAGAGCAGAGCTTTACGAGGGGTGTGGAAACTTCAGATTCAACCTCACCAAACTGCATGAAAAAAAGTAGCAGTGTGTTTGTTTTCCATGTTGGGAGTGTGTTTGTTTATATACTTGCTTCTGTGACCACGGGAGTTAATCACCCACAGAAGACTGAGGAACAGCAATGCATGCCTCTCCATAGGACTGGAGAACACCTATTGCCTGTTTTGTAAAGTAATCATAAACACTGCTGGTGAGGGACAGGATAAGCGCTATTTTCCTCCCAATAACGCACAAATTCTGCCAAGTATCCTGAAACTTAATGAAGCAAACTGCTGACTTGACCATAAAACTCTTCAGGAAACTAGTAATCAGTCCCATCCTTCCTGTTCCTACCTACTTCCTTCCCAAATCCGACTGTACGAGTGTTTCACTTAATGATCCTTAAAGAGACAAAATGTGTTGTCCATCTCGGTAAGAGTTTGGACTTGGACTATTATTTTCTGTTGTTACAGGCTTTTTACTACTTAGGGTGGATTTTTTAAATGCCAGCACATAGGGATTCAGAGTCTCAGCCTCAGCTGGCAAATACATGGTCTGAGCTCAAGAGGAAAGTAGAAAGGTGTCCTTTATCCCTGGGTTGACTACGCACTGGCCCCATCCCTGAAGAATCTTCAGGCTTTTCTGGATTATCCCAGCTGTCAGGGACATAACAGAGCCGGCAGACACCAGCAGGACCCAGCAGGCTTTTGGCTATTCTGTCAGCAGTGAGTTCAAAGTGGCCTGTGAGCTACTCCAGCAACAGTCTAAATGGGCTAGTCATTGCCAGCATCGTGACTCTAGCCTGTGACCAAGGCCTCCATGGTGCAGTGGTGTAAAAGCAGCCATGCCCAACCCCTGTGCCTGGGCTAGAAATATTTACTAAGCCTTTAAAAACAACCTTAAGGGCTAGAAAATTAATTCTGGGCCCAAAGAGCCTTGGGAAAGATAATTTGATGAAAAATGTGCTCTTTTCTCAGCTTTCATCCTCTGAGCAGTTTTCAGTGACTACTATGGGAGGCTGAGGCACTCAGCACCTTCCAGGATCGCATCCTAAATAGACCAAGCCATCATTGCCTTTCCTTGGTCCAATACATAAAGACCTGTTGACACCAATGATCCTGCAGATGGGGGCACGTATCTGCTCCCTGACCTGTTCACCTTTCTCTCACAGATGGATGGTAACATCATGGTCTCCTTGCACACGGAGCTGCGGTGGAGGCATCCAGATGCGGCGAGTGACATGTCAGCGCCTGACAGCGAAAGGCAGCTCAGTCCCAATGTCAAATGAGGCTTGTGCCCAGGTGTCCAAGCGCCCTGTGGACACACAGAACTGTAACAGGCAGCCCTGTGTTGAGTGGGTGGCCTCCTCCTGGGGCCAGGTAAGGAACAAATCAGCAGTCCAAGCACAGTCTCATAGTGTGGGCTAGAAAAAAGTGACAGAAAATGAGAGGAGTGATTTTGCACCCTGGTATCTTTAGGTTATGGTCTTCAGGCTTTTGAGGAGGCAACTAATTTGCTCAGCTCTTTCAACTGCATATTTGATGCACTGCATGCTTGGATTTCTGTAGCTTCTCACAATCCCTAGAAATGCTGCTTGTGAATAGGATTTTTACGGTAGACCCCTGTATTGTCCCCAGTGGAAAGGTCTGCAGCTCGGCTTTATGGTGACAGGTGACACATCTGGGAAACAGCCTTCTCCAGGCCTTAATTCCCCTTACTACCCAGTGACTGTGTTTCAGTTTTGGCTGGCAGGAGTCAGGACTGATGATTGTGATAGGTTTGGAGCAGGGGGTTGTACAATAAACCAGTTTTACAAAGTTGCTGATGTTGCCTGAGAACACCAAAAAGTGGGAGCTGCCTTGATTTGCTTCATGACAAAAAGCAGAATGAGGGCTAAAAGCATTTTCAGACTACTTCATGCTATTTTGCAGATTTTTAAATTTTCTCCTTGCAGCTTCATACAGTGATCAGGTGTTAAAAAGCTTCACTCCATAAATACTAAATGTTCCGAGTATTTAGAGTTAAATTGCTTGATTGTAGGAATCCACAGAAGAGTTTTGGTTTTGTCTTTCTGTGAGCTATGAGGTTTCCTGAAAAGACACTTGTCAATATGTAGTCAGTTATAACCTGGGACCAGTCATTATTATGTGCTTTCCTCCCTTTTTTCTCCACTTCAACTTGACTGAGCCATATGTGAAAGTTGCTGAACCCACTACAGTCCAGACTTAGGGGTAGAAACTCACAGATTTTAGCCCAAAGATCTCCAGAGTGGTGATTCACATGGGAGTATAACATTCCATGGTGAATGAGAGACAGGATTAAAACCACAGAAGCCAATTGCTAGAGGTTAAAGCCAGATACCAATACTACTTTAACATCACTTCTGGTGAAATAAACATTTTCAAAGGGAAGAAGAAAGAGCAGTCTGACAAAATCAAAGTAGTCATACATCTAATTGAAATGATGAGTCAGGTAAAAGTATAGAAGTGAGGCTTTTTACCATGCAAGAAGAGGTGAAGAAAACAATTACCAAGAGTAATAACTATCAGTCTTGACACATAGTGAGCTATCATGAAATATTTTGCCTCCTTTTCTAATTAGCGTGTAGTAAGTCAGTTTGAAAACAATGGCAAATGCTATCTCATCATATTAGAGGTTAGAGTAATACGATAGTTTGTTACTAGTAACCACATGCATTCTGTATTTGCTTGGCGTAATATGCACAATACATTGCACTGCATCAGGGGTTGTTACTATGTTGGTAGTAAAAAGTGTCTTTAGGTACTAGAACTTGTTGAAGACCACTTCATTTAACTTTTGCCTGTGTATTTTGGAAATTTTTCTCATGAAAGTTGATTGTGTTATGAAGGAAGCAAATTTTCACTCTCTGTGGAATTCCAGGTAAGGGCTGGATTGTCCTTGCAAAAAGCTAATTACCTCATCCTTATTTTGTAAATCATTATGGGCTATATTGTTCCCCATTACATCACACTCAGCTGATACAATTAAAGAGATCTGAATTAATTTGTTAGACCTAACCTCTGTGTGTTATAATATAATATTTCTTCTACTTGGCTTAAAAAAAAAAAAAAATCAAGTCCACATGATTCTATACAGCTCAGTCTCCAAGCCAGAAGACTGTTATCTAATTACAGTTACAAACATATCACTGGTTCAGTGGCTCAGTGGACTTTCTCAGTAATATCATGGGGTATCAGATCCCTGTTGCCCAGGTCTAATGACCAACTTTCCCAACTCACAGAGAAAATAAACAGACTACCTACTCTACTCTCACCTCTGGAATGAATTCCTTTCCTCCATTTAATGCTAGTGGCATTTTGATCTCCACTGTGTAATCCCATGGTGTTTTAAAACTAGTGACTCAGGCTTGCTGGTGATGAGGACTGCTAGATCCTGCAGATATCGCAGAAGTGCTCCACATACTCCAATGAACGACATTTCCATCCACCTTGCTCAACGACGGCATTGACTGGGAGCAATGGGAAACCTGGCAGTCACTGCTTCTCTCTCCCACTTGGCAGGAAGAGAAGAAATAGCAGCGGGAAGGGAGTGTTATGTGAGGAGTGCATGGTAGTGTGAAAGAGGGCTCCTACAGATGAGGGGATGGAGAGGGCAGAGGGATTGGTCAGCCGCCCTCCCCTGGCAAAAATTCCTCCCTCATACTAAGGTCCCTTTCTGTAACCCTCAGTCTACTCTTGAATATAATTTCCAGATTCTTAGAAAAAAAAAGTGTTTCCTAACAGTTGATATAATTTTAAAAGAACACAAATACATGTTTCATACCTATAGCTAATTATGATTTAATCAAAGGAGATGATTAGAAGAGTTAAACAGTAAGCATATGATTAATAAGCTTGAATAGGTTAGGATAACCTCAGTATTGAAGCAAGCTTGCAGATCTGCTGTGTTCGTCATGCTTGCTGCTTTTGTTTATTGTCCTGCAATGCTTTTATTAAACAGAGTGGAATACGTTCTTGGTTCAGTGTGTTCTTGGTTATTAACGATTTGCCCATAAATTGTGAAAGTACAAGCTGCAAAATGCACAATAAAAGGAATGTATTGAGATTTCCAGTATGGATCATAGGCTCTTGGCTAATGACATGAGAGCATTTTATTTGCCCTAACAGATGTATTTAAGATTAAACTATTGAAGAGGAGAGGTAATGAATCTACAAAGCAGATACAGAAATGCAGTTTTAATGCTTCTGGAGGAGACTGAGGTAGGGCAGAAGATGACTGCATGCTTAGCCTTCAAAGCCTGCAGAGCTGCAGGAAGTGCTCAAAAGCTCAACAGTCTCTGCACAGCAGTATGCACTTTACTTCACCGGCAGTCTTATAAAAGGGGAACATGTCCTGCCTTTTACATCCCTTAAGTGATTTTTCTGTGTTCACAGTGTAACGGGCCTTGCATTGGACCACGACTGGCTGTACAGCACAGACAGATATTTTGCCAGACCAAAGATGGGAGTTCTGTGTCATCAGATCAATGCAGTGCCTTACCAAGGTAGGACAGGAATCTCTTCTGTCTGAAATCACTACCCTTTGCAGAGATGTTGAATGGACTAGTGACCTAACTGAGAACTTTTGGTTTTCCCCTACATAACAAACAGGTCATGCTGCAACCCATGCAGTTACGTAGTACAAATCTCACCGGGCTTAAGCCCAGGCATCACTATTTGTTCCTTTACGCCCCAGAAAAAAACATTAGTTGGCCAAAAAATGGAAAGTTTTCTAGGCACGCCAAATCCTGACTGAAAGGCTGTACTATCTCTTCGTAAACTGCCAGTCTCCTTCTCTCTTACTTAAACACAAGCTCTAACTGGGGAAACACAGCTTTTGTTTTCCTGCAGATAAACTCCACTGTCAACACTGTAAAGATGTATTTACTTTACATGAGACTTAGGTATGTAAATCATGCCTGATCATGACTGAAAATTAATATAATTGGTTCTTTGGCTCCCACTCATGTATTTTCATTATCTGTGTGACAAATAGGTGGGAACCAAGAGTGCCTATGCATTGTCTGTAAGACTGCATTAAAGGGAAAAGGAGGGTTTCAGACAGTCAGTTTTGTTCCCATTGACTGGAAAGCCATTAAAAAGTTGCAAAGCCCTGCTGTGTCTTACGAGTTGCCACTTCACTCATTGCATCTTTTCAGTGGACCTCTGGTTTGGCACTTCATGGAAAGGACATTTCGGCCAAGTCCTCAAATAGTTCAAATGGTCGTTTAGCTCCAGTAGTGCTATACGAGTGTGCGCCCACTGAGGGTCTGGTCCTTGAGTGCAGTTACAAACTGCCTTTCGGTGCACTGGAGTTACCCCCACTCGCACCCGTTGAAAACCTGACCCATATGCTGCTCTGAGCAAATTATGTTTGGGATATGCAAGGCTTGCTGTCCCCGGAGCTTGCATGATACCCGGAGTGGTGTGCGCTTGCTCCCTGAGCAGCGTGGTGGTGAGTCACCCCTCCCTCCCTCCTGCCCACAGGCCTTTGAGCACCCAGAATTGCTGGACCGACGTCTGCGGCGTGCACTGGAGGGTCAGCCTGTGGACTGTCTGCACGGCTACGTGCGGAAACTACGGCTTCCAGTCCCGGCGCGTGGACTGCGTGCACGTCCGCACCAACAAGCCTGTGCTGGAGCATCACTGCTCCTGGAGGCCACGGCCTGCGAACTGGCAGCGCTGCAACATCACGCCCTGTGAAAACGGTATGTTGCTGAGAGAAGGGGAGGCAATGCGGCATGCGGGGAGGAAAGAAGGCAGAGCTGCCTCTCAGAAATGCAGCATTGAACCTTGCAGCTGGGTCCTGGGGAACCTCCAGCCTGAACATGTGCAAATTGTGGTGTCCAAAATTCAGCACCCCAGGAGGGAATGGTGCCCATTGCAGTTTGTTGGCGATGGTGTTAGAGCTGGGATTGCGTCCCCTTGCTAATAGCATGTGAAATGGCTGATGCAGTCTTAACTTTCCGTAAATGGTACAAACAAAAAGAAAAACACAAATCACAGGCTTCTGGCTATAGTTAAAATACAGTAAGTCTAAATCCAGTAGGGAAGGTTGATGATGGGAATTCCTGGAGTAGAGGCTGCTTTCAGGTGACAAGCAACTGATTGGTCCTGCCAAAGGAGTTGGCAGGTGTTGGAAGCAGTGTTCCCCAGGGCTCAGTTTTGG